TATGAAATGTCATGGCAGTGATTTTGCATATAAGTTAAATCCTCTTGTAATTGCATTTAACACTGGCGTAGCACAACTGGCCCATGGCCTCATGGTTAAAGTGGATGGATGAATCCCACATGGCCAACCGCGCTGTTAAGTCCTGAACCTGGAAGGTTGGAAAAACGTGCTGGGCATGTACATGTGCATGCCCAAAAATCCCAAAAGGAGGGAGAAAGGAGAAGGGATTGTGGTATGATCATACCCCAGGGAGATTGCTTTCTCTCTCTCTCTTTCTCTCTCTCTCTCTCTCCCTCCCCACCCCAGCTAGTGCATAAGCCCTCTAGCAAATTTTTTTAAAAATCTGGCATTACACAATATAAAGGTGGGTGGCAAAATTTACGATAATAATTTAAATAGTTAGTTTTATCTTTACTTAAAATGTCATTACATAGCAAGTATTAAACACCAGGGCTCAAGAGGCTGACCATGGAAGAAAGGACATAGCTGTACATTTTAATATCTTTAGCATTGTGTTTTTTCCACTTCCTGAAAAACAGGTACTACATTTTGATTTTTTTTCCTGGACTCCCTAAATGATGCAGCCTGCCCTGGCCAGGGCGTGTGCTGGTACACGGATTTACTCACATTTCTGTTTCTCCAGAGTCACCTGCGGCTTTGAGTTCCTGAGGTAGACTGAAAGGACCCCCAGGGCCCCTTCCTAATCAGAAACCACTGCCAGAATGAGCAGCGCAAGGCATCAGGGAAACATCCCTGATGGGAGGACTGGGAGGACTCCTGCAGGGAGGCGGCCCCAGGACAGGCAAGAGCCGCTCACAATACAGCTTTGACCGAGAGCCTTGTCCCCACCCTGGTAGGATGCCCTGTCTCAATAGGCTACCTCACAGGACAGTGGCAGCCCTGGGAGGTCAGCATGCCCTCCCCATTTGCAGACATGACTGAGAGAGGTCGAGGAACCTGGAAGATGCCTCCAGCACCGCTGCCATTCCCCAGGGTCCGGTGTAGCCACCGTTGCCCAGACTGTGCAAATGACTAGGCATCAACAATGCTTGTCAGTTTGATCGCTTCTCCTGCTAGGATGCAGGCTCCACGAGGGTGGGCTTCTGTGTGGCACATGATACTCCCCAAGTTCCTACCACAGAGACATACCCAGAAAGGTTTGGGTATGAACAGGTGTGGGTCCCAGGTGAGCTAGATAAGCAAGCCTGGGTGCTTGGACTTCCCATATTCTTCCTGGGCTGTCACCTGGGGCTGCCTTGCATGTGGAGAGCCCCATGTGGGGAACCTTGAGGGACACAGCAGTTTCCTGACCTGTTGGGACTAAGAGTGATTTTCTGAATTTAGTCCCACAGAAATATTCCCAGGACAACAATATTTAGTCCCACAGAAATATTCCCAGGACAACAAATATTCCCAGAGCTCCTTCGTGTTCCTGCTACAAAGAATACATGAGAATATGCTGATCCCAAGTAACAAAGCACCCCCAAAGTACCCCCGGAGCCTCTGGTCATTTGGAATGGTGCAGTAGCTCCTCACTCACCCTAGCCCTGCCAGGTGGGAATGCCCTGATCCAGAGCCACCTGGGTCTGCCTTTCTACAGAGTCACTTTAGTAAAGACCCCCTGGCAACCTGGCCCCATCTCAAAGTCAAGAGCACCATTCCGTTCCATTTTCCCCACCTCCCATGGACTGCCAAAGACGGACTGGGTACCTGGGCTGCATAAGGCTCTGTCCAGGCTCATTGATTTAGTGTGCTCAATTGTGGGACCAGCAGATGGCATAATGGTTATATCACTGGACTCCCACAAGGCAGACCATGGTTTGAGTCTCAGACCCAGGCCCATGTGAGTGTGTGCCCAAAATCCTGAGAGGAGAATGGAGGAGAAGGAATTGCCATGTGGCTATTCCCCCCTGGGGGGAGGGGGTGATGATTTCTCACTTTCTGTCTCTCTGTCTCTCTAGCAAGAAAGTGCCCTATAGCAAACATCTCTCTTAAATAAATAAATAGAAAGCTGAATTGCTAAGGATGTCCTCCTCAGGAAAGCTGCCAGGCTGAGCCTCCTCCAACTTTCTGGAAGAATTTAGGAATGTAATGATCCCAGGTTTGAATCGTATTTCTCATGATTTTCAAGCTCGATAACTTCAGGCATTTAATATTTAGTGGGTGGTGCTCAGTAAATGCCAGCTTGTGGGGAGTTTATAACTAGGCCAAGCAGGCAGGCCAGAGTGCCCAGGGGACTTACCTGTCATCCCAATGGTTATCAACAGCAGCCCTTCCCATTCTCAAAAATGTCCTCATTTGGGCCATAAGTTATATGGTCACTACATGTCCTGTCTCTTGGTGGGACATAGTTGCAGGCATACGGCACTGCCAAACTCAGTACGGGGACAGGCACTGATAAATGGCAACAGGAGGGTGCCACCAGCAACACAGAATGTGAACATGTCACAGAACAAACAACCCTGTTCCTTCAACAAAGAAATTGTGGGAAATTGCCTACACAATGCTTAAGAGGATTAACCAAATTCAATGTGTGGGTCTAGGTTAGATTATGAATCTACAAAACTTTGAGACAATCAGAGGACTGTGCTGTTGGCTGGGGATTTGATCAGATGAAAGTTCATTTGCAGGTGCTGAACATGGTACTGAGGGCTCCTTTAGAAGCACACACAGAATTCACAGATGAAACCAAGCAAAGCCTGGAATTTGCATCAGAACAATGTGAGCAGGCAGGGAGTGTCCATGTGTTAATAATCACTAAAGATTGGGGCCAGAAGGTGGTGTGGTTAAGGCACTGGATTCCCACATGGCCAACTGTGGTTCAAGTCCCAATGGCTTGAAACTCACACTGGGCGTGTGTGCACGTGTGCCCAAAATCCTAGGAGGAGGATGGAGGAGAAGGGATTGTGGCATGGCTAACATCCCCCTGAGGGACGACTTCTCACTTTCTGTCTCTCCAACAAGCGTATGTGCCCTATAGCAAAAAACTTTCAAAAAACAATTGACTATGGTGTTGAGGGCCAATCGAAGTGTCTCTAAACTGGCCCTCCCCAGCCCAGTGCACCCCATCAGCCCAACAGTACACTTGATTCATCAATGCTGCTTGTCAGTTAGATCCTGTGTCCCCTAATAGAATGTGAGTTGCAGAAGGACAGGGTTTCTGTTGGCACACCAATGCCTGGTCCCGGTGTGCAGAAGGTGCTCAATATATTGAAGCTTTTGAATATGTTTGTAATTTTTCATAATAAAATATGGGAAAGGGCCAGCTGGTGGCATGGTGGTTAAAACAGCTGGATGCAATGCAGTTGACTGCATGGTTCGAGTTCCAGCCCTGACATCTTGAAAAACATGCTGGGCAGGTGTGTGTGCATGCCCAAAATCCTGAAAGGAGAGAGAAAAGGAGAAGGGATTTTGGCAAGACCATCCTAGGGAGGAGGAGTGAGGAGGGTGCTTTCCCTCTCTCTAGCAAGTGCACACATGCTCTAACAAATTTAAACATAGAAAAATGAAAAAATACTTATTCTTTGCAGTTTCATCAACTGCAGGCAGGTCCCAGCTCCGGTGCCAGGAACAGAGTTTCTTTCCTCTGCCCCACTCATCCATGCTCTGCCCTTTTGTCCTGGCGGCTGTAGGACTTTTCAAGGGGAGGGATTCCAGGCAGAGCTCAGGCCCCATGGCTGACCTGAGTGTGGATCCTTGGGAGAAGGCTGGGGTAGCCCTCATTGGGTGGCCATGACAATGTGCCTCCTCCTGTGCCTTGAACAAGGCCAGTGGCCATGCAGCCCCAAGCCCCAAGCTCCAGCTGATCTACTGACCTCAGCTGAGTCTGATCCTCAGCAAACCAAGTGACCCCCCTGGCCCCAGCTACAGATCTGGCTTTGACTCTGGCTCCTGAGATTCCCTGACCCAGGTTGATGCTGTAGCTGGTTGGAGAGGAATTCTGAGGACCCATGCTCCTCGGTAAGGAGGGACCCTGCCAGCCTTGCTGTCTGAGCTAGATGTACTCAGGAGCCTGTGTATCTTATTGCCATGGTTACGTGGGACACACCTGGTCTGTGACAATACTACCTCCTTGGACTCCAACAGCTTTGTCTCAACCACTCCCTCCTGAAAGAAGGGGTGCTATTAGCACCCTAAAGCAACCTAGGGTTTCTCAGCACCTCCCCTGCCCCTGCAATAAAAGGGAGCTTTGGGCACAAGGAGACTTCAAAGCTGCCGAGGCCCAGGGTCAAAGGTGGAGCTGTGTAATATCCTGGCACCAGCTCACTGGGCTGGGGGTAGTCTGGGAGGGGTGGGGCGGGGGTTCCTCAGGAAACTTCCAGGCCTTCCTTGTTCCTTTTAAGGGCAGCTGAACAACAAGCCTTGCCACTGCCACTCAGACCCTGCAGCTGGCAAGAAGGCACCTACACAGGTTGGCAAGCTGCAAGAACATGTGCAGGGATCTCTCACAAAACCCTCAGGACTGTGTGGTGGCCTGATGGCAGCTCAATGTGTAGTCTAAGTCACTTGCCCAGGGTCACCCCACAGTGGAGATCTGAACCTGGCAGCCCAGACCAGGAGCGCACATGCTCAGCCCCAAGGAGGTGGTTGGCACTCCCAGGACTGACCATCTGGCCCAGCCCAACACCAGGCACGTGCCATCGCCTGTTCCCCATGGAGATCAGCAGCCTGGGGATTGCAATTCATACGGTCTTCCAGCCTGGACCACCCCCCAACCTGCCACCACCTGGAAGCCCCCACAGGGTACGTGGTGATTAGCTTTGGTGATGGCCTGGCTGGACTCCAGATTTCACACCTCTCTGAGAAGTGACCACAAGAGCGTCAGAGCAACCAACCTTTACCCACGCTTGGCTCTCACCTGGGAAATGGTTCAGGATGGCAGGAAGAGAGGGTGGGCAAACACCACTGATAAATAAAACAGGTTTATTTATAGGTTCATCTTCCTCAGAATGGGCCCCCCCAGCTGGGGAATGCTGCTCTAGCATCAGCCCAGGCTGCGCTGAATGTGGGGGCTACGGTAACGCTAACAGGAACCCCACCCCTTAGGAACTGGAAGTCCGTCTCTCAGGGACTGCTCACGTCTAGGTTGGAAAATTCCAGGTGGTGGGCGTGAGGGGTATAAACCTTTATTGTGCTCCATGTCTAAGGAATCTTTATACAAAATAAGTCTTCATATTTGCCAGCAGTGTCCCTACGGCAGTTCAAGTTAATATGTGAAAAATAGCTTTTCTGTGTCCTTATAAAAATCCTTTTCCCTCCAGAAAAATCTCCAAACAGAATCTCAGTACAAACATAGGTCGGGGCCTGGACACAGGAGGCAGCTGCCAGCCCCTACCGGCCAGGCCAGATCCTTCTTCACACAGGCACTTGGACCGGCTGCTGGGGCCCGAGGCAGCGTCAGTGGGGACTCCCGCTCGGCGGGGACTTGGTGCGCACCAGTGCACCTCCTTAGCTCCCAGGCGATGAGCACGCTTGCCGCTCGGTGTCCCGGCTGCGATGCTGGGGAGAACGCGGCTACCAGAACCAAAGGTGCATTGCCTCGGGCTCCGGGCCGGAGACAGACCCCGCCCAGGCCGGCCCTGCCCCCACTAGCAAAATCTGCAGTTTCGCTTGCTCTGTTGATTTTGAAGTCTGAGTCCGTGGGTGCCGAGATTCAGTCTGAGGCCGGAGACGGGGCGGGGGCGGGGCGAGCGCTCCGAGCCGCGGTGAGTCAGGGTTCTGCACCCGCCAACTCATTTCTGCCACTCAGGCCCAGGAGCGTGATTTGCAATGCAAAGCCACCCCGCCTCCAGCACCTTAATCTGCCCCGGGATTCGCAAGCACTAGGGACCTCTCCGGCCCGACGGCCGCTCCCCGCTCCCACTCTCTCCCCTCCCCCACCGGCACTGGAGCCGAGAGAGGAAGTTTTGCAATCCCGGACAAACAAATGCCGGTCTTGCACAGGCTTGAAAAAGTTTGGGGAAAGTGAAGAGTGAGCGACACTGAAGCCATCGCCCGGGTCTGGCTCTGGGCTCCGCTGACTCTGGGCAGGGAGGGTGGGGGTAGTGAGGCGACCCATTAGGCCTGCCCATCCTATACGGTCGCCCCTGTCTCCGACCCTCCCTTCTCCCCGCCGAGAGGTTACCTCGGGGAGCGAGAGCGCTCAGTAGCCCCCTAACCAGCTAGAGAAGTCGAGTAGCTCGCGCTCCGCGGGGCTTAGCGCGCCCTCGCAGCCGCTGTCGTCTGATGAGTAGGCGGAGCGTGGGGAGCCGGGCTCCGAACTGCCCCCGCGGCCAGGGGACGAAGAGGCACAGGAGGGTGAGGCGACCGTAGAGGGACTCCCATGAAGCCCGCGGGGTGCGGAGGACCGCGATGCTGGCGCGAGCAGCCCCCCAGCCAGGGCAGCGCGCACGGGGTCGTGCTCAGCCAGTAGGCGCTGAAGCGCACGGATGTACTCCACGGCGGAGCGCAGCGTCTCCACCTTGCTCAGCTTCTTGCTGGCGCCGCCGTGCGGCACGTGCTGCCGCAGCGCCTGGAAGCCCAAGTTCACCAGCTTCACGCGGTTGCGTTCGCGCTCGTTGCGCCGCGCCACTGCTGCAGCGCCGCTCGCTGCCTCCGCCACGCCAGGCCGCCGCCGGCGGCTGCAACGCAGCAGTTCGGGGGACGCAGGTCTCCGTCGGGCAGCGCAGCCGCCAGGGACGCCAGGCGCAGGAGGCTGGGGCCCAGGCAGTGCGCTGCCATCCATCGCGCCGCATCCACTCGCTGGCTCCTGCTCCGAGTCCAGGCGGGCCGCAGGAAGGTGCGGGAAGGGGAATGGGGGATGGGGAAGGTAGTACGCCTCCAGGGGGGGCCTCTGGCGCTGCACCTCCGAGCGACCCCCCCGAGGGCACGTGTCCTAGGTCGTCTGGAGCCAGAGGAAGGCGAAGCGCAGCAGGTCGAGAGGTGGCAGGCTGTGCGCTCAGAGGAGCGTGGGGCGCTCGTGTCTCG